ATTTAAGACGGTCCGTCTTCGAGGAGCAAATCGTTGCAGACGGACCATCGGCGGCGCGCACTTGGGTTCAGGCGANGNGNTNANAAAAANCGCCCCAACNAACTCNNAGGCCANAAAAAATNNCATAATNNCAAAATGAACGCGGGTTTGAACTAGATCATGATCTATTTCTTAAAAATCAACGGGTTGCAACGCGCGTATTCTCGCTCATCGTTTAAAACTGTGATACTCAGCCAACGAAGTTCGGCAGCGAATTGAGAATTTTTTAAAAATTTACTGGGGCGCGCTTTCTGACCCCCTCGCTTGAACCCAAGTGGGCGCGCGATTCGACTGCCCACTGTTCGCTTTTCGGCAGTCCGCGCCCGCCAGACGGCCCGTTTTTCGCCAGTCCCCCTCTACCTGTGCAAGGCGGTCAAGTGGTGGGCGCGTGCGGGGAATTTCAAAATAGAGATAGGAAGTTGGAAAGTTCAACAAAATTTCAAAAACTGGAATTTCAAAAATCATAAAATTATTATTATTCCAAAAAAAAACATTATTAATCACTTAATTAAATTAATCAGTTTTGAGCAACAGATATTCACAACCATCTCGGTCCATCGGGTAGATCGAAAAAAATCTTCTCATTCGGGTCCAAAACTGGCCAATTTTCATATTTTCGTTTGTAGGGAATTTTTGGAATTTCTGGATTCTGAATTCCCACGTCTTCTGGGGAGGATTCTGGAGATTCTGGAGCACCGTAATCCCAATCCACGTCATTTTGTTCATTTTCTGGAGGAGGAGGAGCCACAAAAAATTCCTGGATCAAGTTTACTGGATTTTCCAAATTTCCAGAATTTTCGATTTTTGGATTTCCAGAATTTTCTGGAACAACGTTTTCAGCATTTTCCAAATTTCCAGAATTTTCTGGGACCACAAAAAATTCCTGGAATAAGTCTTCAGAATCTTTGGAATTCTCCAAATTATTGAATTCTGAAAAACTTGTTGGTCCATTTTCAGCCAGATTTTCAGCCAGATTATTGTGATTTTGCGTCCAATTTTGATCTGAAAAAAATTAAAATTTTAATTACTTAATTAGCCAATTAAGTCCCAAACCTTCTCCATATGGCATCAAATCTGGCATCTGGTTTTTTGGAGAAAATTGATTTTTTAAAATCACATTTTCAAAATTTTTGGATCTTTTTAATAAATTCTCTCGACAATCCACAATTTTTAAGACAAATTTTCGTTTTTCCAGGGTAGAATTTTGAAGATTTCCAGACAAATTTTGAGATGAGTATTCTGAAAAAAAATTTTTGAAAAAAATGTTTGGTTTTGAAATTTTTTTACCTCCAAAATTTTTAGAAGACGTCAGATTCTGAAATTGTGAGTTTCTGGAAAACTGTAGTCTAGAATTTTCAGCCAATTGAGGATCTGAAAAAGTCCAAAATTACAAAACAATTTCTGAAAATGTTACCTGAAAATCTGAAATTCTGATTTTCAGATTTCTTCTGGAAACTTCTGGAATTTTGAATTTTTGAATTCTGACTCTGATTTTGAATTCTTCTGGTGTTTTGGGACAGCTGAGAATCTGAAAAAAAAATCATAAATTCAAAAAAAAAAAACTTTTTTTCGAAAATTTTCACCTTTCTGAAAATTCTGAATTCCAGAATTTTGATAATTCAGATTTTTCAAAATCTTCTTCGTTTCTTCTGAATTCTGAATGAGAAGGCGTGAAGCCGATCCGGCGCCATAATGGAGTAAAGGATTCAAATTTTGAAGTGGTGGTTCTCGATTTTTCTGGAAATTTCCAGAATTTCTGGAATTCTGAAGATTCGAATTTTGCTGTGAATTTGCTGGCAAGCTTCCAGTAATCGGACGGATTTTGGAGAGTTGGATTTTTCTAGATTCTTGATTTTCAGAGATTCTGAAGTTTTGAGGATTCTGATTTTCCAGATTTCCAGATTTTTGCATATTTTCAGAATCTTGATTTCTGGAAATTCTGAAGGTCTGATTCTGACTTTCCCAATTTCCAGAATTCCCAAAGTCTCGGATTCTGGAATTTGGCGAATTCCGTTTCCGACCTTCTGAATTTGGTCGATTTTCAAAGTTTCGAATAGTTCCAGAATCCTGACTTTTCGAATTTCTGTAGTCCAGATTCCAACTTTCTGAATTCCCGAAGTTCTGATTTCCGTAATTTCCAGAATCTCGATGATTTGAAATTTTGTGAATTTGAGGGTTATGGAGATCCTGGGTGACGTCGTCTGAATCCATTTCGAAACTTCTAGAATCCTGATTTTTCGAAATTCTGAAGTTTCGGGGATTCCGATTTTCCAAATTCCCAGAAATTTGATTTCTTGGAATGCTGAGGTTCTGATTCTGGATTTCTGAATCATGAAAATTTCCAGAATCTTGATTTTTCGAACTTCTGAAGTTGTGGGAATTCTGATTTTCCAAAATTTGTCCAACACCAAAGTTTCGAATGTTTCCAGAATCCTGATTTTTCGAAATTCTGTGAGTTTGATAGATTCGGAGGTTCTGATTCTGATTCTGAAGTCCTGAATCCTGTGGAACGTCTTCAGAATTCATATCGAAATTTTCAGAATCTTGATTTTCCAATCTTCTGAAATTCTGATTCTGAATTCCC